ACCAAGATGCATTATGTAAAGGTACAATTCCCAATGAGAAATGTAATTGTGTTGTATACCTAAAATGTACCAATAAAAGAATTTAACCAAAAAAAAGATAGAGAAAGAAAGAAAGAAAGAAAGGGCACTATGCTGTCCTCTAACCAAAGTTCATTCTTCTCATTTGGATAAGCAATCTCCATTAAGTGAAATTTGATATCTTCCTATTAGTTAATCATACTGTCCAAAGAAAAACACATTCAATGGAAAAAATAAACAGACTTCTTAAAAAATGAGATCTTTCAAACACATCTGATAAGATGTATTTGACTTATTTTTTTAATCTTTGTACACAAATATTTGATACTTATTATTTCAAAAGAATGGAACTTGCTATTCATCCAGTGGGGAGAATAGTATCATTAAATAAATATTAAGTAATGAGAAAAATACCACATTTTAAAAAGGAAGTAAATTTTATTTCCATGGGAATAGAAAGTAAAATAAAAGATACTGGGACAAGAATCCTTTGGGGGTAAAATTTTAATTGGTTGATCTAACATTTCTCAAAAGACTGCTTTTGATGTTGTAAAAAATGCCATGCTACTCAGTACTACTTAGCCATAAAGAAAGATAAACTTCAGGCAATTATATGTAAATAGATCCAACATGAGGTCATACATACTCTTAAGTGAAATAAATAGGACACACATGTGTAAATACTGCATTGTTTCTCTGGTGTGAGAAACTGAAAGCATAAACGAGGACTGACATGTATAATAGATATGGTGAAATAGGGAGAAAAGGGGCAAAGGGGAAGGGGAACTAGGGAGGGGGCAGGGAAAAGTAAAGAAGGGAAAGAAAAAATGAAAAAAGAAGAAAACAATGGAAACAAAGCTTCTGTAAATAAGGAGGGGTGGAGGAGTTGAAGGGAGGGAAGGGGAACGGGAAAAAATACGAAGCAAAATATATCATGTACAGATACAAATTCCCTATGATGAATGTGATCATATGTATATCTAAAATGTACCAATAAACTCAATTTTTAAAATGCCATGCTAAGGAAGGGAGCTTAGAAAATACATTGTTCAAGGGCCGGGGATTTACCTCAGTGGTTCTGCTGCCTGCCTCGCAAGCGCAAAGACCCAAGTTTGATCCCCAGTATCAAAAACAGACAAACAAACAAAAAAACAAAAAAAAGGAAGTACATTGTTCTTCATACAGTGATGCTGTGACATCCTTGCATTGTTGAAAGTAAGAACATCCAAAGGTCCATACAGTGCACAGGCTATGAAAGCAAAGTTGAAATAAAAACACAAAATAAGATGAAAAGGAAAATTAGAAACTGCCAGAAAAATGCACAACTGTCCCAAGGACATGTAAAATCACATGCTATCAAGTTTACCACAGAGATAAAAGGCTGATTTTGATGACAAATGACAAACTATAACACCCAAAAAGAAATAGGGAAGAGAGAAGTAGCCCGTCTTCACGTGAACATGTCTGTACTTTGCACATACACTTGGCTTGAGCAGGACTGTGTGATCATCAAGTTCTCCCTCTCTGCTTGACAAAAATCGTAGAACTCTTGTCTCCAGTGTTGAACAAATTTTCTTCTCTGTAACAATATGTCACGCTATGTACATTTGGGGTGAGGAAGGGAAATAAAGAATAAAAACAAACAAGTTACTAATCTGTGAAACAAATATAATTCCAAAGACATATCAATATGGACTTCCAAGAATAATTTCCTAAATACTATGATAAAAAAGAAAATGCATAGAAATTAATACTTTAAACATTGAACATTTAACAGCTCTCTTATTTGGCAATGCCTTTTTTGAAGCAAAGCTGATCTCATTTTTTTTTTTATATCACACCAAAGAATTTCCATTGAAAATGACTTGACTGTTGCTGTCACCAGTTTTGAAAACGATTTGGTTTCCATTCTATGACTTTGTTTGGTTTCATTCCCAACTGGTGTATTACGATTCATTTCTGCCCCTAGCCCACCCAAAGTTAGCACAGATTTTAGAAGTTAAGTGTTCATTTTAGATGTTAACTGTACTTTGAGAATTCCCAGAGCGTGTGTATTTCTGCTTAAATGGCTAGAAATTTGGGGGTTCCAAAGACTCTCGCAGTTTAGAAAATTCACTAGATCAATTCATAGAACTTAGGTAAGTGCAAGACTTATAATTACAGTTTTTCTGTAGAAGCTATGATCTGGACCAGCCAAATAAAGAGACGCCTAGAGCAAAGTCTGGGAGATCCTCAGTGCAGAGGTTCTGTGTGGCCTCCTCATCAAATCAGGCCGCATAGACAACCAGGCATTTCAGTGCGTCCACCAACCAGGAAGTTCCACTACACTTTGGTGTTTAGAGATTTTATTAGTGTCTCATTAGGTAGCCATGCTTGATGAAATCACTGGCCACATGTTTGAACCCAATCTCTACTCCCCATCCCTTCATAGATGTTACATTGGCTCAAAATTCCAACCCTCTGATAACATGCTCAGTCATTCTGGTGACCAGTCCCCTTCCAGAAGCCATCTAGGGTGTCTCCACAAATCATCTAATTGGCTCAGATGTGATCTAGGGGCTGAAACATAACAAAAACACTTCTGTCACTCAGGACATAACAAAAACACTTCTGTCACTCAGGATGTTCCAAGGGGTTTAGAAGCTCTGTGGCAGGAACCTAGGACAAAACCACCTAAATTGTTTATTATGAAAAAGATACGATAAAATAAGAACTGACAAATAGCACAAGAACAACAGATATTCGCAAGTCAAATAATAAATTCCATGTTTGTTATTTATAGTTTGTCAAGTCTGGTATGGAACACAGTCTTTGTAACCGATTCTACCACAAGAAGGGTTGGCCTAGGCAAATGACAAAAATAAATTGTTTTGTTTTCAATACACTCGTTTTCTACTTCAATGTCTTAGCATTTCCCTAAATTTTAGTGATGCTTGTACATGGCAACTGATATTCCATGGCATTAAACTCAACATACATTTTTTGAGCAATATCAATGTACAAAGCACTATCATCACTAGCCGCCTGTCTTCATAAACCTGTCAGTCTAATAAAAGTAAAAATCAGGTTAAAAGTTAAGTGGCATGATTAAGATAGAAACTAAAGACTTTAGCAGTGACTGGCAGGATGGAGTTTCAACGTGATTGGCTTTGGCATGCACCCCATGGATTGAGGGAGTACATGTCTAGATGTGTCTGGGTGCATCGTGGATGTCTAGCCTGGAGGTCTGTGTCTGGTCCCTTGTCCCATCTTCTCTGGTGCTGTTCCCCTGTTCTGCTTCTTGCCAACATGAACTAAGCAGCTTTGCTGCGCAATGCCCTTCCATGAGGTTTCTGCCTCGGAGCCTGATGATCATAAACTGAATCTCCTGAAAATACGAGCTAAATGAAGGCTTTCCTCCTTTAAATTACAGACATTGAGACCATGTCTCAGCAATGGGAAAGTCCACTAATATAACATGTGATGAAATACATCATGGTGGGGGCTGGAGGGAGACAGCACTCCAAAAGGGTCCTGAAAACTTATTAGGAACAGGAGAGAGGCAAGAACTTTCCATGCTGAATGAAGAAACAGAAGATCCAGCAGTTTGAAATCATCTTTGATGAATCCTTATCGCTACATCAAAGGGCATATAGCAGGGTGTACTGAGAGAAGAGGCTGGAGTGCTGGTTGAGGCCATTTCATGAGGGCTTCTCAATTCTATGCCAATGAATTTCAGTGATATTCTTCAGGCAATGGAAAGCCACTGGCAATTTTGAAGAAGGATGCTTCACTGTGCCTAAAATTTCTCTTCTTTAAGTCTTCAGGAGCTCATAGGCAAAAATTGTACTAATTAAGAGATTACTGAAATAGTACAGACAATAAATGACATGGTATTAGACAGAACAGGATTACCAGAAAAGAGTACCAGCAGAATTAAATAATGGATTGTTTAGGAAGAAATAGGAAGAGCTCCAGATGATTTCTGAGTATCCATCATGCCTGAAGGGAAACATGATGTATCTGAAAGAAATTCAGAATCATCTTAGTCTTTTCAAGTTCCTTTTCAGAGAAGCACTAAAATATACTCATGAATAAAATTAACTTAGTTATGTGTGGCAATGAGTTAGAGAGAATATTACAGAATTTTAGAGTTGAGGAAGATTTTAGAGATCATCTAAGGCAGAGCTCTCATTATTTCAACCGTAGAGATCAAAGAAATCTTACTTGAAAAGCAATTTAGACAAGATCAGATCCCTCTGTTTTACAAATGAGGAAACCAGTTTGTGACTTGTGCAATCACATTCTAGTCAACAGAGAATTGCATACCCCAGATCAATGTTCTTTCCATTCTTCATCCCATGGGAATATTTCCCTAACTCCCTGCCTCTTCTTTCTCTTTACTAAACTAGTTTGGCTGGGGTCCAGTACTCTAGACACAGGTTCCTTTTGTCCTTGTGTTGTGTGGCCTAAAAACAAGTGGAGAGAGCAGAACAAAATTAAAATCTAAGTAATTGGGCTGGGGATGTAGCTCAGTGATAGAGCATTTGCCTAGTATATGCAAGGAGACCCTGGATTCAATCCTCAGCACTGAAACAAAACAAAACAAAAAACTAGGTAATCAACTAGGACCCACATTGGCTCTGGGGCAGTACAGATAACCCATAAATAAATCATCTCACCCTTACCAAGACCTTGCAAAATGGTAATTAAAATATGAAGATAACTAGGAGAAGTTTAGAACAGGAGAGATGTTTTTGTCACTTTCTGATTAGATAGACATCCACAACTTAAGGAAGGAGAGGTTAATTTTGGTTCATGTTTCAATCCACAGTCACCTGGCTCCAAGGCAGGGTGGCATGGCAGAGGGGAGCTGCCCACGGCATGGCATGGCAGTCAGGAATCGAGAACCAAAAAGTGAGATATAATGTTCTTGGCTCACGCTCACAGTGGCAGGCCTCTTCCAACCAGGTCTACCTCCTAACAGCAAGTCAGCTACAATGACCCCATAATCCAATCACCTTTCAAAAGTCCTGCCTATAATCACGTGAAGCTTTAGGAGAACATCTCAGTGTAAACCATAACAGACATGATCAGAACAACTTCTAAAATTGTGCACCTCCATTGAATTTCAGATTTCAATACAATATATAACTCTCTGGATATAAATTCATATTGTAATGCCATAACAAAAGTATTACTCCAAGAACAATATTGGTGGCTCAGTAACAAATGGCATTACTGACCATAATTCTAATGTCTGGCTCTATAATCACCCCAGGACCCATAACATGATTCCCATGATATCCCTGACTTGGTCCCTACTCTCTCTTCAGCTTCATTTATTATCACTCTGTTTCACACTCACTACTCTGATATTGCAATACATATAATTGCTAACTATGCCATACTATTTTGAGGTGCTTTATTCTCACTCACGGTATTCACTGTCTGGAATGCCCTTTTCTCATCTACCTCTTTATTTTATTAATGATAGTCATCTTTTAAGATTCAATTTGGGCATCACTTCTTTGGAAAATGTTGCTGGGACATAGAAAACAATTTGGATTGGAATGCGATCGTAGGATACATCATACCATAAATTGATCATTCCGCATTTTGTCTGCCTTTTCCACTAGACTTCTAGAGCTGGAAAGCAAGAATGAGGTTGCATTCTGCTTTCTAACTTCAACAGTTAATAGTATATGTATGACATGTGACTGCATGTAAAAAAAAATGTGTGTCTAGTTACTTAATTAACTGACTTCTCCATACTCAAATAAATATTCACAGGCAATTAATGTGCAAAACAACACCCTTGAAAACTGAGCATCTTTTTCAAGCATTCTGGCATGTGTTATGTAAAGATCTGCTTAAAAGACCATGTCTAGACTAGCCAAAGAAGGTAAGAAAAAAATTATAGTGTAACTCTTCTCAGGAAACACGAGCTACTTTAAAAACAGCCCTATAGACCAGTCCCAGGAGAGCACAGTAGAACTGTGCTTCTTTTCAAAAATAAACTCACTAATTATATCTGAAGAACATGCAAGAATATTTATTAAAAATGAAAATATTGAGAAATCAAAACCAGAAGAATTATGTAGACACAGACAAACAAGCAAAGGATGCTGAATACTAAAAGAGGTCATTGGAATTTGGCAATAAATCAGATAGACCATGTTTCTGAAACAATAAATGTGACCAAAGGGATTAGAAAGAAAGACTACTTGGACAAAGTAATCTAGAAGATATTAAATTAGAAGTTTCATTTGTTCAAACTGTACTGTATTTTCTTTGAGAATGCAAGTTTCTAACCCAATAACTGTTTTTTGCTCAACACCCACAGTAATGAGGCTTTGTTCAGTTGTGTCTAACAAAGCACCAGTGTAAATTATTCAGCAAGCATGGTCAAAGGACTACTATACTAATATTTAATCAGGGTTCCATTTCATTCTCTTTTCCAAGAAGTATTACATCTATTAATTGAACCCCACCATATCTTTGCTAGGTCCAGAAGAATCCATTGTAAAACATACCAAAAACAAATTATTTGGCCACTTGCATGATTTTCTGAAGTGTTACAAACACATCCCTTCTAGCAATAGTTTCATAAAATTAGTGG